TTAGCCAGGTGTGGTGGCAGGCGCCTGTAATCCCAGCTACTCGGGAGGCTGAGGCAGGAGAATTGCTTGAACCTGGGAGGTGGAGGTTGTGGTGAGCTGAGATTGAGCCACTTCATTCCAGCCTGGGCAAAAGAGCAAGACTCCTTCTCAAAAAAAAGGAAAAATAAAATGAAAAATTAAGTAGTGTGTATTGTAAGAATTTGGAAGATAATGCAAGGTAACAGAAAAGTAAGCACACACTTGAAGCTTTAAAACCTTGAGATGTGTGGTTCTAAGCTTTGTGACTTCAGTGTATGTGATGGAGGTAGGTTAGGAAGGGTTGTGTCTAACTGATAATTACACTATAGGAATTCTCAAACTTCAACAGGCATTAATCATCTGGGGTACTGCAGATTATTGGGCTCCATCACAAAAATTCTAATTCAGTATATCTAGGGTGTTGCCCAGCAATTTTCCCTTAGATAATTCAAAGTTCACATTTTGAAAAATACCAACTAAAAGAAAAACTAAAAGAAAATAGAATCAAATAATCATCATAGCACACGAAGAAATGACTAATTTTAAGATAGAATCTGAAAGGGTAAAAACAGACATATTAGTAAACATAAAAATTTAAAACTTGCATACATTTAAAATAAATGTCATAACCAAAATTAAAAGGCCCTTGTGAAAAAATGCTTTCAGTAAATGGCTAATATTGTATTGATAGGCCACACAAACTAATAAGCAGAAACAACCGAGACACTAGCAGATAAATGAGAAAGCACATAAATAGACAATTCTATTGAAAGAGGGACTACAACTCCTAAGCAAACCTAAGAAACACCTATTAAAACAAGGCAACATACATGCTTGCTAATAAACAAATCTAATTTTTGGAGGTGTAATATAGTTAAATGTTTCAAGAGAATTAAGTAACAACAGATTCAACTACATTTAAAGGGAAAATATTTTATGTTAAACTTTAGCATTCAAAGCATGTCACAAGATTCAAATATGGAAATTGAGGGTACCAAAACTGCAATAAAAGGGCAAGGTTGCACGATGTGGCAGCAGCAGTCAGTCAAGCCTGAGTACTCTGATTAAATTTTGTACTCATTTCAACCCTTCTTAGCACACAATCTTACAGTCAAAATTACAGATTTATGTTTAGTTTTATACCCCATCGTTATTTGTATTTCATGGCTTTTTAGAGTTACCTTTTTGCCAAATCTAATACAATCACAAGGGGGCACGTAAAGGAGACTTTTAGCAGCTGCTATCCCCTTGATAATACACAGCATTAGACAGTGTATCCCAACTAAAACTCTGCTCCACAAAGCTATTTTTATCTCTATGTCTCTGTAAAGTTGTCTCAAATATTTTAACAAGGCTGCTAACAATATTCAAAATTGAGAGATTTGAGAATTTCTATTTTATGAATGCTAGTAGACCTAATTATATAAGAATAGATAAAATTATTAATAGAACTGCAGAAACTGAGAGGAGAGAGAATCCTGGAAAATCTAGGAATTTTTTTGACCATGAATAGCTAAGAACTGTCTATACTCACTGGGGAGAGGGTCCTCCTCTGCAGAAGAAAATAAACTCTATTAGAGCAGAGAACAGGGTGAACAAGGCTCTCTTCCAGAAGCATGGGCAGCCTCGTGCTCCGGGCAGGCCTAATTGGCAGTCACCCAGCTGTGCCTGGTGTGGAGCTGGTCCCTGAGTATCTGGAGAGTACAGCTGGGCTGTGCTAGGGTCATGGAGTCCTAGGTGCTGACTTGGAAGGTTAGCAAGGGGCCTGCATGTGACAGGCTGCCTCCTCTAGACTGGTCAACAGAGGCTTGGCAAGGCAGGGGGTGCTGGTTTTAATCCCACAGCAGGGACTTATTTCATCAGGTACCCAGAAGAAACCTCACTAGGATCTGTTTCCTCCCAAAACACACACAAAAAAACAGAATTCCCTGGGAAGGAAGTGAGCCCCAGACTCCAGATTTGTTTCTCTTTGGAGCACCCTGGGGTTGGTGCCTTTGTAAAGTCACTGGCAACACCTGGTCTAAATCTGTGTTCACCTGTACTGTTTCTTTTCCAAGTCAACCTGGATTGAACAAAGTGCTAACTGGAGAACTAGATGTGGATTATCCCCTGCCGTCCTAACAGAAAAGTGTACTGATCTTAGAGCTCCCCTTTAAAAGAAAAGAGAAGGAAACAGTCTCACTAATCTCTCACTAATATCCTGTTAACGTTTATACGTTTATCCTGTTAACGGGATTTTTCTGGGCAATTTCATGAGGTATTTGTAGAGATGAAAATAATTTCAGCACACCAATAATAATTTATAACCTAGAAAAAATTAAATTTAGGTGGAAAATAAAGAAGCATTTACTCTTCTATGCTTTAATAACCGTTTCTCCAAGCTCTTTCTTTTGCTTTTCTGTTTTGTTCATCTAAGACTTTTAAAGACGTGTATCCTAATGCTGAAACATCAGTTTTGTAAAGTGGCCCTTTACAATTCAAAAAAAGGCTAAGAGCCTCTTTTAACTTGTGTTCCCCAGTCTTTGAATACACAAGTACATGTATATGATCTTTTCCAGGTACATGTAAGTATAAGCTGAGTTTAATAAATTTCTTCCTATAAGATAATCATTTGCTTTTTCTCCCCATTCTGTAAAGAACATTAAGTGCATTTCATGGATAAAACAGGGTCTGGGTCTTATTCTTTCTGAACCTGTAACATCGAATGCAACATACTGCAAACAGCTTGCTGCCTCAGATTTTTACATGTAAACAATCTTAACAGAAAATCTACCTATTCAGAAAGCATACCTTTAAAGAACTGAATAATTTATTCTAAAAAGAAATTTATTTCATGATAAAAGAAAATGCATATACAAACACAAGAAATATCAATGCTCTTAGAATCACAGAAAGGAGTATTAACATTATACCATCTGCCTCATAGAGAAAAGAGAAAAAAAACCAAAAACAAGTTACCTTTTTGTGCAAAGCATGAAATTCACTGTATCTCTTTTCAACAAAATGTTTTCTTCCATTCATTAGCACTTCTATCTTAAACACCTGAGGAAAAAATTTAAAAGAGTAATTATATTAGTTCAAAACCTTCAATTGTCTGATGTGGTAAGTTTGTGACCATGATATATTTCATCCCTTTAATTATAGTAGCTGATCCCCCAAAACCCAGAAGGCTCAGGAGACCCTGGTCCAACAGCATTGATTAATGAGCACTCGAACCAAAGGCTCACTAACAAAGTGCGACATTCCCCAAAAACCTGTCTAAAAACAAGGGAAACTTACATGCATTAAAAAACTACCTAATTTTTTAATAAAATAACATTTTTTGCATAAAATGATTTCACCAAGTGAACATGATAGCACTGAAAAAATACTCTTTACCAGAGTATTGCAAGAGGAGTACTCTGGTAAAAAGCTCAGGCATGTGGCATTTCACTATGGGCATTTCAATGTAGGCAGTACTGTGTCTTTACAAGACAATCAGGCAAACAGCAGAGCATTTTAGGTTAATGTCTTTCTAACCTGAATATTCATCTCTAGTCTCAGCTGGGCTTATTCTGCTGTTTGCAAAACAGGGAAAATGTAGTAAAGGCTCATTTTCCCTGCATGATACAAGTGACAGCTTGTTCTCCTAGCTCTACAAGGTTGAAAGGCCAGATGAAAAGGCTCTCTGGGTGCACTAATTAGTAGGCACTAACATGACATTTTCTTGATTCTTAGGTCAGTGGGTCAAGACTGGAAACAAGGGATGAGAAATATTGTGAAATGGTCATGAAAATACAATGTTAAGGTCGGATGGGGAGGGATGGTTAGCAGGATCTAAAGAGGAACTGTGATTGCAAAAGTTTGTATTTGACTCCTGTTTTGCTAAGTGAGAGTTTAGAAACACTAAGATGAAGGAATATTGTTTAATTACTTAATAAGCCTAATTTTCTATTTCAATCACCCTTCTAAAAAAAATACAAAACTGTAGAGATCACATGACACTAAAAAGCATTAAAAGCATTCTTACTTTTAGTCTAAAAATAAGAACTACTTAAATTTGGCATGTGAGATACAAGGTTGCACATCTTCATTATGAAAATAGATTGCTATGGCTCTATATTTCTGTCTTATATGTAAGTATGACCATTTTAGAAATCCAGAAATTATGTCATCAAACATAAAATCTGTTTGCATTTTTGTGCTTCTTTGAATCAGAAACAAAATCTTCTGCTGCATGACTCAGTTTAAGAAATCTCTTTTATTAAGTGTTAAATTTTTAACAATTTAATCAACATTTTATATTAACATTTTGTTTTTCAAGAAATACCCCTGAATAAATACTTTCCTTTGGTGAACAAATAGAAATATTTTCTTCTGAAACCATATGCATATGCTTCAAATTCTCAGATATTCTTAGATTATTTTTTAGGAAAAATAATCTGTTTATTAATTCACCAGAGAAAATTACTCTTCTTCAAAGGTCTTGCCAGAAATAGAATCAGGAAAACACCTCAAGAAAACAAATAAGAGAAGCACAGCTTTAACATGGGGGCTTGGTTAATAGGCTACAGAGCCCCTTTTTTACTATCAGGTCCCAGATTGAAATCAGGACAATATGTAGCAATGAAAGTAGTTTCCATCTGCTGAGCTTTATGAAATAAATGAGGTTATGTTCTGGGTCTTATTGCTTGAGGCTTTATCACAAAACCACCACCTTAATTGGCACATTAGCTACAGAATCTGTAAAACAGGGAGAAGGTTGAAAATTCGGCAAGCCTCTACCTACTTGCCCACCCCTCAAAGTGGCCCCCCTTGAAGGCCAGGGTAAGACAAATTACACAATGGCTGCTTCATGGAATGTCATCTCTTCTACTGACCAGATGGTTCCATTACCAAATTCCACAGTTACTCTTAACAAGCACTAAAGTCACAGTGAGCGGTGGGGGAGGGTGGATGTACACACATCCACAGGAAAGTTTGTGATAAACTTTAATTCTTATATTTTATAACATTACAATTGAAAGAACACACAATATGCCTAATACTATCAAGACTTTCTTCTTCTAAATTCTGGGAAAATATCTTGGAAAGGAAGTTGTTGATCAGGACTTTCATGACAAAGTGAAGCAAGAAACGGAGTCAATTTAATAAATCCGGCCAGGCACAATGGCTCACGTCTGTAATCTCAGCACTTTGGGAGGCCGAGGCAGGTGGATCATGAGGTCAGGAGTTCGAGACCAGCCTGGCCAATATGGTGAAACTCCATTTCTACTAAAAATACAAAAATTAGCTGGGTGTGGTGGCGTGCGCCTGTAGACCCAGCTGCTTGGGAGGCTAAGGCAGGAGAATCGCTTGAATCCGGGAGGCAGAGGTTGCAGTGAGCCAAGACCGCACCACTGAACTCCAGACTAGGCAACAGAGCGAGACTCTGTCTCCAAAAAAAAATAATAATAATAATAATAATAATAATAATAAATCCCATTTTCCTGAATACCATGCCAGGTCATTTTTGTAAAGTCTTTCCAACTTTCCTACATATGTTGTCCCTGCTGCCTGGAAATTCCTTTTCTTGCTTGACTCTGCTGGCAAACTCCTAGTAGTGATTATACACCTCCTGAGGTGACAGCTTCCAAGATGGTGCTGGGAAGGCACTCAGCACAGAATCCACCATTCATCTGTTTATTTATTCAACAGATATTTACTGAGGGCCTGCAAGCCACGGAGCCCAGGAGTTGTTCTAGACTCTGGGATTCAGCACTGAACAAGACTGACAAGAGGTCAGCCTTTATGCAGGCTGAGGAGGGCGGATCACCTGAGGTCAGGAGTTCAAGACAAGCCTGGCCAACATGATGAAACCCTGTCTCTACTAAAAATACAAAAATTAGCTCGGTGTGGTGGTGCGCGCCTGTAATCCCAGCTACTTGGGAGGCTGAGGCAGGAGAATTGCTTGAGGCGAGAGGAGGTGGAGGTTGTGGTGAGCAGAGATCACAAAAAAAAAAAAAGAGAAAAGAAAAAAAAGAGTTGAGTGTGCTGCCTCTGGAATTTCAGATTGGCTGTGGGTGGACAAGGACCGTTTTCACTCCTATTGAAAAAACAACAACAACAACAACAAACAACAAAAAACTCCCACACACTTTAAGGTGAAAACCAAGGGCACTTCTGGCCAAGATGGAGTAACAGGAAGGAGATGTAGCCTCCCACTTGAAACTGGGCAAATTAAATAAGTGTACAAAATATGTGGGAAAAATGGCTCTCAGGACATTGGACATTGGGAAATGAAGGACAGTGAGAGACAGGAAACAAACAAGGAGAGCCCTACTATTAACCTCAGCTTGCTGCCCAGAGAGAAGCTATGCAGGCCTCTGCCCAGGGAAGGGGACTCCACCCAGTAGAGCCCTGCGGTCCCCTGAGTTAAGGAAAGGGAGCTGGGAGTATGGAGAACAGGGAGCTGCACCCCAGGAGAATGCCTGCAGCTGAGGAGGTCTCCCTCAAGTATTCAGGTGAAAACCGATCGGCACGTGAGATTGGGTAAACTATCCAAGGATACGAAAAGGATTAGCGTGAGCAGGGCTCAGAGCTCACATGCAACAGGCAATGGTGCCTGTGTCCAAAAGCCGGGGCAGAAAACCTCATAATTCACGAGGCATTAGTTACAGTATCCTGAAGGTTCTTAACTCAGAAGCAGGGAAAATGAGCCGTTTCAGTCCAGTTTCACACTTCAAAGCCAGGTCTGAAGAGATCAAATTGTTTCTGGGTAACTTAACCTCATACCAGAACAAAGCTCAAGAATATTTTTAGGACTATAAAAATATCTAGAACCCAACAAGGTAAAATTAACAAAATGTAAATTACCAAAAATGTTGCCAGATTTCACCCCTCCAATGTACTAAGTTACACTGTTACAAATAGGACTGTCTGGTCCATCCTTGTCAACATAGTCCTACTTTGGCCAATCTGGTGCATAAAATGAGAATTTTTTCTTTTTTTTTTGAGACAGAGTCTTGCTCTGTCTCCCAGGCTGGAGTGCAGTGGCGCGATCTTGGCTCACTGCAACATCTGCCTCCCGGGTTCACGCCATTCTCCTGCCTCAGGCTCCCGAGTAGCTGGGACTACAGGCACCCGCCACCACGCTCGGCTAATTTTTTGTATTTTTAGTACAGACGGGGTTTCACCGTGTTAGCCAGGATGGTCTCAATCTCCTGACCTCATGATCCACCCACCTCACCCTTCCAAAGTGCTGGGATTACAAGCATGAGCCACCGTGCCCAGCTAAAATGAGAATTAATTGGGCATATTTTGACAAGCATGTATGGTGGCGTAAGTTTCCATTCCAACTATCTCACATAAAATTATACATAAGCCTGACCTACCTGTTTATTTTTATTCTATTCATTTACTTAGTTATGTTGCTCAAGCTGGACTCAAACTCCTGGGCTCAAGTGATCTTCCCATCTCAGCTTCCCGAGTAGGTGGGATTAGAGGCCCATGCCACTGCGCCTGGCTCTGACTTGCCTGTTTGGTTTTCTATTCCTAGAGACATCTTTCCTCAGAGTTTTCCAGAAATCCCCCCTGTATAAAGTAAGGGAAGCTGCATGTAATTAAATAAATGTATTAAGGATTCCATTTAGGTTTGCTTAACAAAACAAAAATCATTCTGTTCATTTGACTAAATTTTTGCCACAGTTCTAGAGACATTAAGTCAATAGAATTCAAATTGAAAAGGAAAACAAATGCCATTACTTTAAAGGGAAGAATCTGATCTCCAAGTGTGGTTTTTATTACATGTCAGAGCCAACTTTTTTTTCTTTTGTGGTAATATCTCTGAAATTATACTAGAAGCCAAGGATAAAATAGTTCAAAATATGGGTTTATACCCTAATTTTCAGGAATATATCTAATAAATAAAATAAACTTAAGCTAAGGAAGGACTTAACTTATATTCCAGGTTGAATGGTCTCTCTCTTTCAGAAGCTTATACATTACAAAGTTGATCACTTCTAAAGCAAAAAAAAAAAAAAAAAAAGAAAAAGAAAAAAGGAAAAGTATTCTTTATAACA